ATGAAATGTCATTCTTTTAGTATGATTATGAGTAATCTTGCTTTCTGTTATAAAATACTATAAGTATGTCAAGGTCAAGTGTCCGAAACTTTTCAACTAACTGAGGTAATTTTGAGGACCAAATTCTTTTATGTATGGGAGATTGTAATGCCCTGGAAATTTTATAGAATAAAATTCTATATGCTACATATTTATATTTTGAAAGTTAAAGGACTAAAATGAAATAGTTAAGTTTTAATTTTATTTGGACCTAATAATTAGATTTTGATAGAGCGAAGATAAGTATATTAATATTGGACTTTTTTTTATAGTTTATAATTAATTAGAACTATTCGACTTGAGAAAAAGTTAATTAGGTTAAGTTAGATTCAAGATATTGAAGTTTAAACAAATTGTCGTTTATTAATTTTTTTAATTAAATATAATTTGGATGGGCGTAGCCATGTCTATCTAGGATGATTATTAGAAAAAAACCTTTTTTTTTAATTGATTAGATTTGTATTTGAATTGTAAAGCTCATTTCATTGTTATGCATTGAGATTAGAATTATAAGTTTCACTAGGAAACCAATTCTATACAGACCCATTCACTATATTCACGTCTCCTTGTTGCAATGAAATTCAGTTGATATACTAGGTTATAAGTCCTATAAATACTCCCATGGGTCGAGAATTTTTCACCACTAATATATTATATATACAAGGCCAACGAAATCCAAAAGCTAGAGAGAGAATCCTACAATATCACTATATAATATATTTTATTCATACAAGATAGAGAGAGGAAAAGAATACGGTGTCACGTGCATTAATTACAATCCATTACAACTTTTCAAATCTATCAAGGTAAGATATTTTTGAGCAAATAGTTTGTTTTCTTATACTTTTGTGTATTTAATTAAATATGTATGAATTGTAAGTGGACCTTCGGGTTCTGCAGAAAGAGATATGATCCTACTGAAATTTAAGAGGATTTAAGATGGATGTGTCTCTTGGTAACCAATATATTTTATAAGAGAAGAGTGAAATGAAGTGTATAATTTATTGTTATATACTTGCGTATGAAAACTGCACGTATCTTACTAGGTATTTTAAAATACTCACTCCTATAATAAGTTTACAAGTTAAATCGGGTTGATTGGAACTATGGCAAGATGGTGATGCAGACTGTCAAGAGGATTTGAAAGAATAAAAATATTAAGTTTTTTTATCTCCCAAATTATTAGTTTGTTTTTGTTCAAAGACATGTTTAATAATTAGTTAAATTTTAAAACTCGAATTCCACATTTTAATTGATATTTATGGTTGAAAATAACAGAATTATTTTTATATGTGTCGGTTCCACATTTAATGTGAAGAAAGTTGAATTTTTGATAACACTCTAATGTTTATAAAAATCTGGAGTGTTAAACAAAAAGGAAAAGAAGAAATGAGATTCAATTTGTGGCCGAGAATACAAAGAGAAATAGAGAGTGATATAGCTGTGTTAAAAGAAATGGAAAGTTAGATATTTGCATGAGAGTAGAAGCAAATCAGCCAACGGGTTTTCAATGGTCGGATTAAAAAAATGTTTGCACGCAACCCTATGAACAGTGCCAAAATCAAGTAATTTTTCAATGTATAGCGCAATATATTTGAAAATAATTTAAATTATGATAATAAATATTATAACTCTACAAAATAATTGAAGAAGTGCAAAAATAGATAATTTAGGATTTTAATTAATGAACAAGTGTTATGGTTTACGAGTTCATCATAGTTATCCCTCTAATTTCAGTTACCAAATTTCAACAATACTCAATTATGTGTATCATGTCAAGTTCTTCTAATCAAAATTTATTTACATCTCTCGAATTTAAATCAATCTTATTCAACTAAGTTAACTCACTATATCTTTTTTAAATCATGATAAGTCTTAATTAAGAGTATACAGTCACAAAAATATTCAATTAATGACTGCAAACTTAGTGAAGATATATCTTTTACACAAATTTCAATTTTTACTATGAGGTCTAAAATAATAACTCACCTCTCGAATCCTTCCTGCTTACAAATCAATGAAACAATACCAAATTGTTTTAAAGCATGAATAATAAAAGTAAAAATAATACACAAATATTAACTTGAGATCAAAGCATAATAAATAAAATTAAAGTTCAAAACTATAATATAATATTTCATCCAAACTATTGATTTAGTTGCATATTATAGGAAAAGAGAACATATGGAGCATTTGAAGTACTTCGCCGCTCTTGTAGTAAGAACACAATCTTGAAATCCTAGCTTTTTCTTTTCTTCTCTCTTGTATATTCTGTCTGTTTTACTTCTGACTCTCCATTAGGGATGTCAATTTAACTCATCGGCTCGAATGACATGTGACTCGGCCCAAAAATTTCTGAGCGGATTCAGCTCACTACTCGTTGGGGATCGTTCGAACCGAGCCTCATTTTCAAGTGTTAGCCTGAGCTCGAGCCGACTTGTCATACTAACACAAGCCAATCCGTGTATAGAGCCTTTGAAAAGGTCGCTTTAAAGGCAGTTGCCTTAAAAAAATGTAATTAAAATTTTGGGGAAAAAAAAGAGCTGGCTCAACTTTGACTCGGTTTGACTCAAGCAAAAAAAGCTCGACCTATTTTTACCCGAGCGATGCTCAAACCGTGAACTTCGACTCGTTTACATCCCCACTCTTTATTGTGTCCTCTTTGTTTTTATCTAGAATATATCTGTCTTTAGCGATAGGCCCATCTCAAAAGTCATGACTCAAAAAGAACCTAAAATAACCCCGAATAAAACAAAAAGAATCCAAACTTTTCAATGTAGGAAAACTGTGACACAACCACGTCCAACAAGGAGCTTGGGCTCCAATCACGCTGATTGTGGTTGATTACCATGATCGGATCATGGAATCCATTGATCACTTCTAACCTTGGTTGAGCTATGGTTTGCAAATAGCGGTCCTCCCCCCATCCACTCTCTAATTTTTACAATTTGGTACCTATTTTAAGTTTTTCATATGATTTTGGGTTTTTATACATATCTTCAATATCGGTCTCACAACTTCCAAAACCTTATACGTTGATCCCTGAACATCCATAATATCCCAAAATTGTCCTCAAGTTTTGAAACTATACAAACCAGTCATCATACTTCTGATAAGTTTACTAAAAATTATAGTCTCATATCCCACATTAATATTACAATTCAGCTATGCTGCTAGGAAGGAATTGACACCCTCCCTGACGTCTCCCTCACAATAGGGGGAGGGAAGCAAGTATTTTTTGGGCTTTTTTTTATTCACATGGTTCCCACTTCATGCGAGTATTTGTCAACAAAGGTGACAATTTCTTTCAGGCAAAGGAGCATAATTCTTAATATTAAGATTTCGATCGATATCTCAAAAGCAAAATCTTTCTCAAGCATCATGAGAAGACAACTAAATCTACATTAACTAAATAACAGCAATGTTTGCCTCTTACAGCTAGCTCTCTAATTTCTCCTTTCAAATATAAAAAAGTAACATTATCAAACTACTAAATATAGACAGATTCTTCTAAAACAAGCTTAAATTTGCAAAACACAACACAATATTTGTTGACTTTCCCAGATTAAGATTACAAGTATAATCCAAAAACAACAAACGAAGATTACCGCAATGCTTTTATAGTCAACAGCCACATTGAGAAAATTTTCTAAAACAAAAATCCTCATTCTTGAAAACATTTCCAGTGACAGCCAAAATATCTGCATTACAAGTAATTCTCATAAGCCAATTGTCAATTTTGTAATATTTGAAAGTGCTACTTTTGCTTGGGGCAATCTCTATTAAAAGGACAATAATCGATTTTGTAATATTTGAAAGTGCTACTTTTGCTTGGGGCAATATCTATTAAAGGGACAATAACCGGAGTTAGATATCAAGAATGTTTTCTTTGTTAATCATTTGACATGAGAACAAACTTTAAACGATTTATTCCTTACAAGTGACGTGAAACTATGTGGGACAATCACCACAAAAGTGCATTGAAGACGAGAAATGGAGTAATAAATTGGACTATTGGGACAAGAAATACGTAGAATCATCTTTAACTCCTAAGATGGAAGGTTATAATCAACAAAAGACTAGGGATATCAATGCTGAACAACTACATAATGCATATCATTCTCTTCTGCAGCTAAGTCAATTCTAACTATTTCTGTATAACAACAAGAATGCAACTGCTCAAACAAGAAGCTAATAGCTCAGAGAAAATAACTTACTCATATTAAAAGATTTCCAACCACATGATTCTTTCTAAATCATCAAAGCAAACTGCATAATAACAAAGAAAATTACCAAGACTTTCTAACTATGTGCTAGCAATTATTAAATTAATTGACATTTAGAAAGATCGTGTACAATGAACAACTACCACACAGAAAGCCAGAGTAGTCCAAACAATAATTCTTTGTCAATTGAAAATAACGTTAAGGGGAATGACAGTAAGATATTCAATAAACCTACATTCTTCACCCAATTGTTACAATAGAAACCTGAAAAAATGGAACCCATTTCTTGATTCCTCGACTTTCAATTCAAATTTTCCACCAGAAAAATTCAAGTTCTCATCTTTTACCTGAAATTCAAGAAATTTAGAAATTTCTTCCTGAAGAAAGACTATCAATTTGTCAATTTCACCAAAACGGTCAAAGTGGGAACTATAGTGAGAGAAAATAGTTGAATGCCTAGGCTTAACTTTGGCAAGCAACAAAGCCACACTTGAAGTTAACGTTTACCAGATTCACGTTTTCATGTGTCAAGAAACAAAATAATAAAAGCAAGTCCCTGAATTAAAAAAATTTCTTTACACTCTATTCCATGAAACCAAATTCTCCAACAGAATAAAAGCGTGTCAGACCAAAATATATGAACAAAGTCACTCATGTTTTTCTTAGCCTAATCGACATTTAGAAACAAAATACATGAAACTATAACTGATTAGCAAATATTCAAATCTACATAGCCTAGTGACAGAACAAATGAAAACCCTTGAGAACTTTCAGAACCAGCTCAGTCTCTTTAAGGTGCAGCTCAAGCTCCTGTATCATAAGATTTCTCCATTCTGCCTCAAAGTGTCGTGCCTTATCACTTCCCATCATCGCCCAAATCGTCTTGAGCATATCCGAAGAGATGATTCCTCCAATATTCATTTGGAAAGACTGAGGCAATAATGGGTAATTTGATTCCACGTCCACTTCATCCTCTAAGATTTCTTTTTCCACATTTTGTTCTTTTTCTTCCGAGAGCACTATTTGCTGCTTTAAAGACTTTGACCCTCATTTCCCCAAAGTTTTTCCGAAAGCTTGAAAACAGTATATTCATATGCATTAGAGAATTCCAAAGGAGCCTGTTTCTTCCTATTGAAATTTCCAAGAAACTTTTGTTTTAAGTCTCCGAAGTTTTTCAGTGACTTGAAGCTTAGTAAACTCCATATGAAGCTTGTCCTTAACAAACAAATGAAACTCGGTCTTACTTTCATCCCCATGCTCAGACTTAAAATCTATTTGACCTTGAAGCAACGTAATAACGTCCTCGTCAGTGAATATCTGACCGAAGAAAAAATGGGACTGCTTCTCAATCAATTCATTTTGCTGGAGACTTTCAACATCAGAAGAAGAGCCATTTTGTTGTTTTGAAGCAGCTTCTTGGGTCGTCTTTCCTTCCTCTTTGCTTTTCGAGTGGGAACTGGAGCCCTCCTCAACAGATTCTTTGCTATCTCTCTGAGAAATTTCAGCTTCTTCATCATTTGAAAACATTAGTGCCGATTTTTTCGAGCATATCTTTTGATTTCCTTCTTCTCTTTTGCGATTTGGGCTCCATTGATGATAGCAGACCTTTACTCTGAGAATTTCACGTTTTTTCTTTTATTAATCAAACATCTTGTCAATTTTTATTAAAATCTCAGTATTTAATTTTTAACGCGGGTTTTTGACCCTTGTTTGAACCAGGTTGTTTTGAAAAAAAAAATATATATATATTTTTAAATAGTGTATTAATGAAATTTTTGTGGTTAAAAAGTAAATAAAAAAATTGAATTTGAGTGTAATATTATTTTATTGAAAAATGTGTGATTGAAATGATGTGACACCACTGTTTAAGAATATATATTTATATATATATTTTCAAATAATGTTGATTAGACAGTGCCTGATTTATAAAGTTTCGTATTCAATTATTTCATATTTGGTGAAAATTCTCGATCATTTATATTTTTGAATTTATTTTCAACTATGATTTTTTTTTAATAATGAAATTTGCACATTTTCCATGACTTTTTCTTTCCCACTTTTTAGTCACATTCTTAAAAAAAAAAATAATAATAATAATAAAATTTTTACTTATGTTCTTGACTTGATTGAGAAAATATTTCATTATTAATTCTTGTTCGGTATGGACATACGTGTTTGGGTACTCATGTTTTATATTTTGTTTTTGTTTATTTATTAACAAAGACACTCTTTTTTAAGCCTATATGTGATCTTCATTCTTTAAAAATTCATTTTTCTTGTAATCTTATTCTCCCTATAAAATAATTTTACGTATAAATCTCAAACATTCTCTAAAATGAAGTTCAAACAAGCCTTAAATATAAATGTTTTCGTTCTACATTAATGTAATAAATAGACATTATAGTTAGCCCCATTTGGTGACCTTTAATTGTAAAAAACTATGTTTTAAATAGTATTTTTTTTAAGAAAGTGCGATTAAAATGTAGAAAAAAAATTTAAACTTATGTGTAAAATATTTTATTGTATGAAATTGTAGTTAAAATGAGTGAGAAATAAATTAAAGGTGGGGCATAATTTTATATCCAATAGATTACGTCTATAATTCAAATTTCATCTGTTTTATTAACATTAATTCTCTTAGTTAAGTACGAAAATGGTGCACAATTTGCTAATTTTGTTTGGTTTCCATTATTCACAAAGCTGTACAAAGAAACGGATTACTAATTATAATTAAATACACAATATATTTATTGTTAAAATTAAATTAAATTAGAATTTCTGCCCCTGTTTGATGGTCATTTTTTTTTAAAAGAAGAGTTTTAAATGGTGATTTTTTGGATAATATGTGGTTAAAACGTTGGAAATCTTTTTGAGTTTACGTGTAAAATATTTTATTGTATAAATGTCTGGTTAAAAATGAGTATGAAAATTAAAAAGTTTTATTTTAAAGGGAGATAAATAGGAAATTAATTAAATTTAAATTTATAGTGAGCAATAGAAAACGTTTCTAAAAATTTAGTGACCAAAGTTATATTATATCAAAGTTTAGTGGTCAAAATTTGATCACCTCAAAGTATAATGAACAATAGAAGACATTTTTTTTTTTTTTTTACATTTTGTGACTAAAATTCGACTATCTCAAAGTTTAACAGTGTGACAGTGCACCACATGTGCATCTCGTCAACCACATTATAAATAGAATGAATTCTTTGAGCCTATGTTTGAGCTTTGTCCTTTAAAAAGTCATTTTTTTCGTACTTATATTCTCCCTCTAAAATAATTTCACATATTAATTTTAAAATTTTCCTTAGATATTAACAACACATTTTCTAAAAATCATTATTACAAAATCAAATCTCCCAATAAAATGAGTTTCAAAAAAACCCTAAATATAAAAGATTTCAGTCTACATTAATGTAATAAATAGACATTATAATCAACCCGGTTTGGTGGCCTTTAACTGTAAATAACTATGTTTTCAATAGTATTTTTTAGCGAAATGTAATTAAAAAATTGAAAAAGGTTTTGTGTAAAATATTTTATTGTATGAATTTATAGTTAAAAATAAATCCAAAAAATAAAAGTAAATTAAAGGCCTCCAAATAGGGCATAATTGTATTTTCAATAGATTACTTCTGTAATTCAAATTTCATTTGTAACGTTAACATTAATGCTCTTAGTTAAGTACAAAAGTGGATGCACAATTTCTCAATTTTGTTTGGTCCCCATTATTTTCAAATATATTTTTCTCTCTTATTTTCAATTATACATTTTTTAATAAAATAATATTGATCCGTAACCTATAGCATCATTAGTAGAGCTAGCGATATATTCTTTAGCACTTGCACCTTCATTATGGATTAACTAGTACAAGTAGGGGCTTCAGTAGCTGATCCAAGGTTTCTTTCTTCAATATTTTTCGATTAAGACATGTGGGTTGGTTCATTTCGTCCTTTCTTTGCAATTCTCTATCTTTGTTTTGATCATTTTGCGCAAAATGTAGTTGTATAGGATCGAGTATAAAAGGACAATTCTCCATTTCCATTGAAGAGCAAGCAACCTTCCCCGCTATTCTGGCCTGTTACTGATAGGGATTTTATCCATGCTAAGGTAGCTTGCTTACGAAGCCACCCACTTGAGAAGCTAGTAGCTAGAAAGAAGTGACGAGAAGATAAAACTGTTGCTAACCTCGAAAAATGGACCTTCCATGCAACCAACAAAAAGCAACTCCATGTGTATTTTCCTCCCTACACATGGCCGAAACTTGTCAAAAGTATATGGCCATTCGCAAAGAGTGTGATAGCAGCCACATACATTCCAACGATCAACTCAGTCGACTGTAAACAGCACCACGGGTTCCGATAACGACAACCCCCTAACCTTTTTTTATTACAAATGGGGAGGAGTAAATATAAACTTGAATTGTGAAGTTATACTACCTTGCAAAGGTTTGACTCTTTGTATTTATAGAGAGAAAGTTGGAAGGAGTGTCGTTAGATGTAGAACACGTGGATTTATCTATCGATTTGAGGCATCTACTCATAGGTGCTCATCAATCATTTCCTAGGTGGGGCGACATTTAATGTTTCTGACTTGGAGTTGACACATGTCATAGAGATGTTACATCTATCATTCCAAAATATGTCTTGGACAGATCCTTGCCCAAAATATTTGTATCTTGGGTCGTAGCGCAGGGTAGGACCTGTACATACCATCTTGTACCACTTCAGAACGATTATCGCTTTGGTTGTATCGGCTTGAACCTGCACGTACCACGTCAGCACCACTTCGAAATAACCACCGCTTCAAAAAATATGCTTCGATGTTTCTTGACATTATGTGCTTCGACGTGTTGAGTGTGGACGTGTTCCACTGAGGAGCATAACAGCTCTCTACAAAGCAAAGCTTCTCATCTTTTAGTCATAATACTCAGCTCGCAAATTCAAAGTTTTTTTTTTTTTCCAATTTTCAATTAAACTACTATTTTGAAATGCATTAGGGGAGGGAAAAAAAATAAATTAGAAGCTCAAGTAGGTTCTTAGCCCTTGTTTGGTATATATTAATTCTAAAATACAATATTCTCTCTTATTCTTAACCACATATTCTTTGATAAATTAATATTACATGTAAACTAATTTTTTTTTTCAACTACAAATTTTCATCAAACCACTATTTTAAAATATATTTTTGACAAAAATGATGTTCAAATAGGCTTTTATCCCCTGTTTAAGCCACATTCTTTCCACAAAAATATGTTTTCAAACAGTATTTTGACATCATTTTAACCACACATTTCACATCAACACATTATTTAGAAATTCATTTTCCCCCTAGAATGGGGCGCAAACAAGGGCTTAATATGCATCAAAGTGTCTATCTTGAAGCATTGAAAAATCCTAAGAGTTTGCTAGACTTCCCACAATTTTAAATGGTAATTAAAATGTCAATCAATCACGTTCAAGGGAAATATCAATCATTCATTTGAAATGACATGCAAAGTCATTCATTTCAATTTCCACTTTTATTTACATAAGTTTCATTAATGTCCTTTGAAATTTTCGATAATTACATCCTCATCCTCGTTTTTTAAAAGTTATCTAAACTTCTCATGTTAGAATACATTTGTCATTTAATTATTTTCTTCTATGCTAAATATGAAATGTATATTTTTAATAATAATTATATTAATGTAATTATTCTTCAAATTTAAAAAGGTTGATCCAAATTTTAACATGTGGAGAAAAATAAAGAAGAGATAACTTTGATTCATATTCTTGTAGTTCTTTATTATATTTTTTTGTATTATTATAATAAATCTAAACTTTCTAATATTGATGAAATTTTAGGATTGTTACGTTAGGGTATCACTGATATGCAAGAACGGTTCAAAATTATTTTTGTAGAGTTTTAATTTATTAGTCTATTAACAAACTCTCCTATAAATTATTAAGAATAATGCTTGCATGACATTTCTCCTATGTGGAATATGTGCATTGATGAAAAAAGTGGAGGTAAAATTATGGGGCAGATCATGTCACATGGGAGAGTGTGACTCATAATGTAATCTACAATATACCTGCAATAGCTTTGCCATTTATAGGGTTTTCGGAAAAAAAAATGTACTTTGAATAGTGATTTTTTAAAAAATAAGTAATTAAAAGATAAGAAAAATTTTAGGTTTGCGTATAATATTATTTTATGGAAAAATATGGTTGAAAATGAATTTTGAAAAAATATATTTTAGAAATAATGGAATCCACACATGGGCTAATTTTGTCATACATTTATATAAATATGGGATAAAAGAGCAATATGCAACGAATCGTAGGGCACCTACAAAGAATAATATATGTGAATTCAACAAGAATCTAAAGAAAATTGTCTGAAGTAAATAATTAGGAGAATACTAACAAGATAACAAAGGTTATAATTGTAGGGTTGTGTATCCATATATTTTATATTGTTATAATAAAATAATAATTTATAACAAATAAATTATGGTTTTATTTATTTATTACATTTATTTA